CACTGTAGAGGACACCAGGACTTAAAGCATGTTTATTACACATTTTGGGAGACACAACAAATGAATAAAGAAAAAAAAATATATCAATTAAATCTATTAAATATGAGATATTATTATGAAAATCTTGCTAATTATTACTCCCATTATTGCACTTATTTGTTCATTCTATGTTGCCCCAAAAACACATTAATATGCAAATTAGATACAGTTTATTGATATATTGTATATAATGGAAAAACTTGTTTATGGCCATTTTACACACATTTTGCATAAAGAAAAATGTTTTTTAAAAATATCTTTCATAACATAGTTGACACATGTCTTTTTATTTTTTTAAAAACAGGACTTTTTAAAGTCTCGATGTCCTCTACTGATGCGAGGTAGGGAGCGGGTCCCCCCTTGGTCCGTTTGCAATCGCGTTCCGGGGAGGGGGGTGTGTGGTACCCCTCAGTCCGTTCGCCGCGACCGCACCAGTTGCACCCCCCTAAGGATGGCCCTGCATGGTGGAGAGAGTGACTACGGTGCATTTTGTGCATGAAACAGCTCCACCTGGAGGGGTCGTTACCGCATCCCTTGTGGTGAGAGCTTATACTGCTTCTGGACAAGCTGCATCCTCTCTGCATACCATGGCTGTCCTGCAGGTGTTCAGGCCAGTGGTCCCAACCTGGAGCATGCAGGAACTGTGCTCGGCAACTGACTATGCCCTCCGGGCTATGAAGGTCATAGTGCAGGCTCTGGGGAGGGCATTGTCCACATTAGTGGTCCAGGAGTACAACCTGTGGCTCAACCTGGCAGAGATGCGGGATGCTGAGGAAGTGCGCTTTCTCGACGCCCCCGTTTCTCAGGTTGGTCTCTTGGCGACACAGTTGAAGAATTTGCATAGCAATTCTCCACAGTTAAGAAACAGAGGCCTGCCTCAGCGTGAGTCAGTAGTAAATATGGGGGACCTTGTGTCAACTTTTTTGATTGATGATGACCTCGTGACCTCCGAGACCTTTTCCTCCTCCCCCCGTGACCTTGAGACCACCCACGTAGGTTCACCTTTGACCCTGGTAATAATTTCCAGATGTGAATATTGGCATATTTGGAATACCGGTGTTGACCCGTGACCTCCGGGGGAAATTTATGGTGTTTGTACAATTCCGATCGGTGACAGGCCATACATTTTTGAATTTTTTAGGTATGTTTTGAACTCTCACATCCGGGGTGCATCTGCGAACCACATATGGCAGTATCCGGTTGCATTCCATGAAATGCTGTGTTATGCTCTCTCTTTCTGTCTATGGGGAAATGAGAAAAAATACACATACACACACATTCAAACGTCAGAGTAAAAGAGTCTTATTCTCTTCTTTTAAATTAAATGAATATATATAAATTATGTGATCACACATGATATGAAACAAAGCAAAACTTTTACATTAGTTTTAGGCATCACTAAAAATATAAAAACATCTTACATTTCTCCAGGAGCAAGAAAAAGAGTTTGTCATTTAAGAAAAAGTTATTGGTCGATTGTAATGAAGAAAGAGCGACGTCAAAATAAGTAAAGGGAGAAAAAATTATTTTAACAATCCAAACAATAAGGGATATTGTGGACCCATAATTTAGTATAATTTAGTATAATTTAAAAAGCTGTTATGATCATGGAGACAAATTTTGCTCAGGTCAATCATTTGATACTACACAACAAGAAACCACACACACACACACACAACAAGGAACCACACACACACACACACACACACACACAAAACAAGGAACTACACACACACACACATTGGTTTTTATGTTTTCTTGGGAAACTCCACAAGCGTAATGATGTTTTACTGTACAAACTGTAAGAAAAATTATGAGGACGCTGAAGATCTCGATGAAGATGTTTATTGCAGCATAGCAGTGACAAAGTACATGTAGTACCTTGGGTTCAACGGAGTCAGAATGAACCACGAACATCCTAAGCTCAAACATTTTATACACTTAGAGTTTACTACCCTCAATGTAAATGAAGTTGCTCCTGTTGTTACAGCTGTGGTCTGTATGTTAATTAAGTTCTGACACCCCTTTGTCTGAGATGGTTCTCAGTGTCCCACACCCGCTCCCATTCTACAATTGGTGACCATTTGCTCAGGATGGGATTATCTGAAATGGTCTACAAACAACATAACTGTTGACTTTCTTCTTCTCTATAATAATTAAGCCATTTTGGGAAATGAGCATGATCAAACATATTGTGGAGGGGAATCTGGGTCGGGGCAGACTATAGATTCTTACAAAACTGTACACCTACCCAGCACACAAAAATGTATGCATATTTTCATTTAAAAAAAAAATAGTTTGTAAGCGATCTTAGCGATCTTAAATTTAATCATAAACCACATTTACGTTGTTATATCAGTTTAATACCCATGTCATTATACAAATGTGTGTCCTGATAAATCATATTTTCTGCATATGATTCCATTTTGAATTAAATATTGTTTGTAAGCTATCTTAATTATGAGGACTCAAGGAATTTCATCATAAACCACATT